ACAATCTTGCTCTTTAATCCATTCAAATGATCATTATCACTTGTCTCAAATGTCTTCAAAGCTTTAACAGGCCTTTTCGTAAGTCTGGCAGGAAGAAATTATTCCAATTACTCTCTTGAATTAGCATTTTTATTTCCTTCTTAATTTTTAAAGCCTCATCTGATTTCTTTTTGTATATCCAGTGATAAATTCTTGTTCACATTCAAGTCAGATAAGTTTTGTTCCAAATCTTTTTCTGTAAACAGCTTCTTCTGGGAACAGGGTGTTCATAAAAACAGTCACCACAGCTGACATTCCTCAACAATATCTCTGAGTGCCATTATAAGTTGCTTATCTTGTTATATCTCCAATATCAAAAATAATTTTTCTTCCACAAGAAAATACATTTATTCTTTAAAATTAATTTCAAAGCCTTAATATTCAAAATCAAATATTCCAACTTTTCTGAGCCCTTAATCCATTTAAAACTTTCTATGGCCAAAACCTTGTCTTGCTTTTTGCTGTTTATTTTGAATTCTTAAAGCTTATAGAGTTTAATTTTCTTATATTAAGCATTGAAGGCACTCACCCAGTGTTTCCAGCCTTGTCATTTGGAAGGTGTCCAACTTCTTTAAAGCAGTTAATAGGCAATTTCCAAAGGTGATTAGCAAAGGAAGTGCAAACTTAGTGTTCTTTGAAAGCTCCAACCGCGGCTGGAGCAAGAATGGCAAATTCCCTTGTCTCCCAGTTCTCCCACCCTCCAGAGACCACTGTCTTGCAGCCTCCTCATGAGGAGAAACTGTATGAAGCACAATATGGGCAATCTTGCATCCTCTCTTTCTCCAGAGAGGGTTCAAAGGAGCTGATCTATTCACTGGCTCCTTATTCTTAGCCACAATCATTGGCTCCGCTTTTTGTGCAGCTGACTTCAGTCTACCATTCTTCCCTGGAAGTCCCTCTCTTGCTGTCTTTATTAACTATACAGTCAGGTCTCCATATTCATGGGATCTATATTCACAGATTTGTGTTTTTGTGGTGCTGATCACAAAATTTATCATATTAAAATTTGGCATGCGATGGTGGCTCAGTCTCACAGTAAGCATCATCCAAGTAGGATGGCTTGTAACCTTTGTGTGTTGTGTGTGTGTGCCCTAGGCTATTTGTGCTTAAAATATTACTGTGCTTATATTGAATACCCATGAGTTCCAAACAAAGTGCATCTAGTGATGGAAAAAAGCCTAAAAGGGCCAAGAAAGTGATTACTTTGAATGAGAAAGGGTGGATTCTAAAGAGATCACTTGTTCATTTGCTTTTTCTTTTTTTCCCTCCTTGAAAAGTGGAGAGATTGCTTAAACAAAGGGGGGGGGAGAAAAAAAGAAAAAAAACAATCAATCTCTTTATGCAATTTCTCCCGTGCCTGATCCTTTTTCCACCACCACCCCTTGCAGAGTGGAAAGATTGGAGATGAAGGGATTACGAGACAGTAAGCAAAAATACAGTAGGAAATACACCGGCTGTTTGCATACTGCACTTGTTGCTCCCAGTCCTGAGCATGCTCAGGGCAGCTGGTGCTACCGCATTCCTTTCAATGCGTATTCCCCATTGTGTGCCTGCTTACTCTCTTGTAAACCCTTCCTCTCCAATGAATGTAAATATTCCCGTCTTGCTAATTATCCCAGCACCAGGGTGAGCATTCCAAAGGGTGGGGGAGTGGGGGAAAGGAAAGCAGTTGCAGTCATGTGATTTCCCATTTAGCAACTGCTTCACTTAATGACAGAGCTGCCGGGTCCAACTATGGTCACTAAATGAGGACTACCTTTATTACAATGTTTCCTCTATACTATATACTGTTATAATTATCTATATACTATGCTCTGTACTATTATTATTTTATTCATTTATTCATTTATTTGTTAAATTTATATGGCCGCCCATCTCACTTGCGTGTGACTCTGAGTGATGTATACTCAGCTAAAACACAGATAACAATCATAGCCTTCCACCATTAAAACCAATTAAAAACCAATTAAGAACCAGTTAAAAACAATTATGCTTCAATGTTTCCTTCTTATGGAGCCTGTTCTGTCTTTTTTTCCTCTCTCTGGGATTTCTTTTACTTTTTTCTTCCCTGTTAATGGCCAGCATATATTGCTCTTGCACCTTTCCACGCTGTGCTTTGCCTTGCTAGGGCTCTATACTTCTTTTTTCTCTGGACTGTCCACTCCCTCTGAAGGAAAAATGCATTAATTCTTTTGGCTGCTGCACTCCTCTGTTTGCTGGTGGCTGCAGAGTTCCAAAAACACGCATCTCCTGTGTAAAGGTTGCTACTTTATGGCAACTCTGCCATGCTGAGGCTGGGGGAAAGGCTCACATGGGAGGGAAAGAAGGCAGCACAGGTGCCTGCCATTTTGCCAAGCAGCCTGCTCTTCCACAGGCTCCCACAAATATGGAGACCCCTCTGTACCTGAAAGTTAGCCACTAAACACTCACAGAATTCACATCAGACAGAACGTCATTTATTATGTTTTGTTGATAGGCAGCATTTTAGAGAAAGGCCTCCCAAGACTGTATAGAACAAAATTTGAAACCACAAAGTAAAATAAGGCAATGATAAATCATTTAAAAACATGATAAAATCAAAATACTTTTGTAAGTCCAAATTTCAAAAAGTGAGATGCAATCTCTCTCAGAAAAGACAACAGAAAACTATGTTTTAATTTATCTGTGTTTAAGCATTCAAATGCTAATTTCACCATTCTAAAAATATAATTCATATCAAACCCTGAAATTCTGCTTGGAATTCAAAGACTAAAATATAATTCCAGATGACCAATCCCATATTTGTGAAACTAAAAAGCCTTATGATATACCATAAGAAATAAAATACTTTGACTACTATTGAGCATAAAACTTTTTCCAAGAAAAAAATAAGGAGAAATATTTGACTGAAATCTCCTCTTTTCCAATAAAGCAATGTATCTTAATAGCATACCAGCAATAGCTTGTCCTTCATTTGCATTCATTATTTAAGGCTCTGCTACAATTCCTGGTGATCAAGAAGAAGAGGCTGGTAGTTATTTGAAACATGGATCCTTAGGAAACACAATCTGGATTTGGAACTATTCATTTGGGAGTTGCTTTAAACAGTATCATTCTGCTTTCTTCTTTTCTCAAGGATAAACATTCCCTATTCTTTTAGCCTCTCTTCAAAGGAATTTGTTTGTAATCTCATAATCTTCCTCATTAAAGTGTGGTACCCAGAACTGGACACAATGTAGAATAAAGTGAAACTATTACTTATCACGATTAGAACATTATATTCGCTGATGTGATCTAAAGCTAAATTGACTTTTTTTGCAAATTCACCACTGACTCATACTGATGCAAAGGTTTTATGATTTTTTTTTTTCAGTTTATTACAGTGCCCTTGATTTATACCTTTTGAGGATGAGTTAAGGGGAAAAAAAGATGAGAAACAGTGGGCTTGCCAAATCCTTTAGGCATGCATAATCTAACTTCTGGGCTTGAATGCAATAAAATCAATGTACAGTCAATAATAATTTACTTACTTTTTCTAATGCATGCATACTGAACAATGGGCCATCATGTGCTTTTACTGTTTTGATGAGGAAAATATCTCTCCATATACACACATCTCCAGTTGAAGTTCCAGAGAATGCCGTTTCTTCTGTCCAGCCATAAACTGCACACATCATTGTATCAATTTTCCCCACTGGACCCACATAACCTTTTTTTCCAATTAGTCCACCTCCTGAAATTCAAATAAAACCAAATTATTATATTTGACCTTGAACATTTTTTATAGAAACACAGAAAGTATTTTAAAGTAAAACACAACAGTGACTTTAATTTTTTTCCTTACTTTTATTAATTACAATGAATAATTTGCACTTTCTTCAATTGCAAAATCTTGGACAGAATACATATAAGGATTTATTATTAAACCATGAAACATATACAACATCAAAAGAATTTTGGCTGTAATGATAAACACACTAGAGAAAAAACAAAATACAGTTAGAAAGATTTATTGGTAAAATTAGAATTTTAGTGCTAATATCTGTTTCAAGAGAGACATGGAAGAGAGATCGTTCAGATCTATAAATATCTACAAGTCCTCTATCAACTATATTGAATGTTGTTTTTAAAATGTACACTGGGCAGAGTTGGTATAAGTTAGGCAGAGTCATTATATGTTGGGCAGCCTATAAATGTGATTTATAGGCTGCCCAACTTATAATGACTCTGCCTAACATTTTATTTATAAACATTTATTTATAAACACTCTGCCTAAACATTTATTTATAAACATTTATAACATTTATATGTTTTATTTATACTTATTTTATAAATAAGTATAAATCATAAATAATTTGTTTATAAATCACATTTATAGGCCACACAACTTATAATACCTCTGACCAGCACACACTGTAAAAACAACATTCAATACAGTAAAAAGCCAAAAGAAAGAGAAAACCTGGGGGCTGAAACACTCATGCATTAATAACATTCTTCCCATGGCACATAATGCCTAATCCTGTATCTGCGTAAAGAACCAGGTCTTCAAGTCCCGT